TCATAATTGTAACGTTGTTAATTATCTAATAAAAAGCCCCCCGGCCAAAGAGGTCACCTTAAACAACAAAAAAAAAATAAAATAATAAAATAATTATACTAATATTTATATATTTAAAAAACTAATATTAAAAATCTATTTTATAATATTTTAGTTTTTTTAAAAAAATTTGTTTTACAAATTTCAAAATTTTAAACTATAAACCAAAAATTTAAAATTTTTATTAGTTAGCTTAGCTATCTAAATTATAGCCAAATAGTTGGTTTGGTAAATTAGATCTTTTAATTATAAAAAGAAAATTTTATAAACTTGTTAAACTTTTTTTATAATATCTTTACTTTATTAATCTTTTTTTTGTTTCTGAATCAGCTTTTTTATTTGATTCTGTTATAAAGATTTTTTTTCTAAATATAAAGTCAGAATCGAGCAGATTGAGCTAGATTAAATTAGGCTTTTATAAGCTTAGTAAAAATATTTTTAAACCTGACCTAGCTCGAATCTAATTAGAAAATCTAGTATTTAGACCAAATTAGGCTATTTTGAGTTTTGAATAAATCTAGTTTAGCCTATAGCCTATATATATCTAAAACTTAAAAATTGTACTTATACAATTTTGTACTGCTATATGCTTAAAAATTTTTTTTTAATTAATATAATATTTATATTATTTATTTTGGTATAATTTAAAAGAAATTACTATAGTTTAAAAAATAAAAACTTCAAGTAAGTAATTAAAACTCAAAATAAAGATTGAAACTCTAAATAGAAAAATAAAATATTATACAAATTAAAGATATATAAGTATAGTTTTGGTTTATAAAAAAAAACAGTTGTATAATATTTAATATTATTATAATAATTTGATATACAGTATTAATTTGTATTAATATAATTATATAAGTTAGTTTATTAATTAAATATTTAATCTAATTATTATTTGTTTATAATTAAAGCTAAATTAGTTTAAAATAAAGATGCTAGAATGGAATAAAGTTAAAGCAGTAAAATAATTGCACTACTGTTAATAATATTTGTAATATGGGTAAATTAACTTGTAACCATAGATTACAGATAAATTTTATAATTATAAATATTACATGTAATCGACATCGGGTAACTAATAACATTATATAAGTGATGATAGTATATCGTAGTTTATTCTATCAATGATATCATAGAAACTACAAAAATATATATAAGAGAATAAAAATAGCTAATCTTAGTTCTTTTTGTCACAATAAATGAACAAGTGAAGTTGTTATTATAGTAAAATCAATCCACCGAAGGTCCAAGAAAATTGTGATGGTACTGATTGCCATATAACACGTAATATGTCAATTTTACTTATCTATCAAGTCTTTCATGAAGTAAAACTATAAGTTAAACAACAAAAAATCAAGTACTTTAACTAAACATATTCATAGAGGATGTCCAAGAAAATTTCATATTGAATTATAGTGATGATATCTTATTCTGTGATGCATCAAGCTCATTTTCACTTATAAATTATTCAGCAAATTGTAACTAAAATAGTTATAGTGAAATGAAAAATATACTTGATTGAAAAATTAAACTCTTTACTAAATACTACTTATCATGATTTTAAGATTTTTAATATCTACTTCAAAGTTTATAGCCTATATTACTAGCACCCGGCTCACAAGATTCTTTCTCATATCCTACTCAACAAAATTATACATTACCTAAACCCAACGTATTAATTTCTAATAATGTAGAGAACTTAACCATTGATTATGACATATCTAACATGAATGAACATCAAAACGTTGAGTTTAACAGTCAAGAAAAACTTGAGATTGTTCCTGACTTAGTATTTCAAAATTAGGATTAGCTTAATCGTTATATTAAAATATACGCAAAATAGAATAGCTTTGTATCAGTAATTACTTGTTCTAAGTTTGATGGGGCTACTCATAGAAGGTGTAGATATGCTTGCAAAAATCAAGGAATAGGCCATTCAAAGAAAACAGCTATTATAGAGAATCAAAAACAATCTCAAACATAGCAGTTAGGATGTAAATTGTTAGTTAATACAACCTGTTCGAAAACTACAAAAATACTTAAAATCATGATA